GAAAGACTATATAAAGCAATGTTGAAATGCCAACCCAGGGAAAAAAGGTGTGTGGAGGGGATCTCATGAAAATAGAAGGCATACAAGGAGATGCCAGAGGAAAGACAGACCAGGAGATTAGAGGAAGGGGACCAGAAAAACAGAGGAGGGAAGGAAAAGGGAAGATACTGAGACTTGATACTGACTGAGTTATATTATCCCATTGTGTGCACATATGAATATGTAACAGTGACTTCTATTGTTATGTATAATTATAATGCACCCATAAAAATATGAAGAAAAAAAAACAAAGTAGCAATCTGGAAAAAAAATGGTGTTATAAATAAGAAGAGGACAGGTGATCAGGGACTGCGACTAAGTGGATAAAAATAAGACTGAAAATTTGAACTTTCAGCAAGATGTTTGAATGTGAGGTTCATGAAGATGAGTTGTATGTAGCTGGAGCAAAGGTGAAAAGTTAGGGTTGTTTAATGCCGATAAAACCATGGTTTACACAATAAAGTTCACTAGCTTAGCCCCCCGAAATTTTAATAAGTCCATTGAGGAATTGAGAGTAGGCAGGAAAGAATAAATTACCCAGGGAGAGTTAAGACACAGAGGGTTACAGAAATCAAGAGAGCAAAGGATCCAAGCAACATTCACATTTCCCTAACTTAATAAATAGCACCACCACTCAGTAACTCAGACCCTAGCCTTGGGAATCATTCGGAATCTCTCTCCTCCTTTCTCAGCCTGCACTCAACCCACAGCCTGTCTCGTGAATCAGCCTTCACACGTGGAACCTGTCCTCCTGCCTCTGCAGCTACCACTCTGGCCAACTCACCACATCTCTTTCCAGAGACACAATGGCAGGCCTAAAAGTGATCTATTTTGTCCTCCACGAACTTAAAAAGCTGAGTAGTCCATCTGAAGGACAAGTTTTATTATGCCATTCTCCTGCTCTCAATCCCCCAATGGCTTCTCATTCTTAGAAAAAAAATTGGTTTCCTTGCTGTAGCTCCCAAATCCCTAGAAGACTGGCCAGATGACTTTACCCCAATGTCTTTGGTGACCTCATCTCCACTGCTCATCCCTTCTCCAGTCCCCTGGAGCCAAAGGGACTACACCTTGGCTTCCAGCACCCCAAGAGATACCAAATAAATACAAAGCCCAAAATGTCCTATCATGTTAAGTAATTTAAATTCTATGAACACAGGTAAGGAGAGCAATGTGAACCTAAGTCTTTTTCTTTGTTCCTACCTGGTCTCCACTACACACACCATCCCCACCATACCACCAATACCACCCATGTCTTCATGACTTGCTTTTTTACTTTTTATTCTGTGTGTTATCAGTTACTGATCTAGATATTGGGAATCCAGCAGGGGAAAGAAAAACAGATAATGCTCCCTATATTCAGGCAGTGTCCATTCTAGTGGGGGGATCAGACAAGAGACAAGATGATTAAGTAAAGCATTTTGCATAACAGATAATGGTAAATGCCAGTCCAGTTACAAGGAAGAGGACAGGAGGTATCGGTGCTAGATATGGTGAGTGTTGCAATTTTTGGCAATTTTGGCACAGCGATCAGTTTTTGGCACAGGATGCACCAAGGAGATGTCAGAGGAAAGACTAGTAAAAGCTGAGGGATCAACAAGTCTGTAGTACACAAAGCCTGAGAGCTGAAGAGGCGTGTGGCTGGCTGCTTGGTGAGAGAGTGGGGCATGGGGTGAAAACAGCGCCACTGGCAGGAACCTTTGTTATTCTCTCTCTCACCTGTATTATTTTTCTTCAGTGAGTTTGCATCACCTGATATTATATTGCATATTTATCTTTTTATTTGTTTAATGTCTTTCTCCCTTATTAGAAAAATAAGTTCCACAAAGGCAGGACTTTGAATTCTTCACCATGACAGTGTCTGACCCATGCTGAGAATTTTATTAATAGATTAATGAGTGAAGGGGAAGGGTCTGGGAAATAATGTTAACCATAGAAGAGTGAAAGCAGAAAGGATTGTTGGATGTGGTGGGAAGACATGTCCTGGTCTGGTGGTCTTGATGAGTCCCTGAATAGGGACTGAGGTGGAGAGAGAAGGGCAAGGCAATAGAAGGAAAGAGACAGATAAAGTGACATCCAGTTCTTGAGTTTCCTTTAACAGCAGTTAATGAGATAGGTATTACACAGCTTTCTGAGGTATGTTATTGTTTTGTCTTCTTCATGATTTATTTATCTTCTTAAATAGATATTTTACAAAATGAAAAATGTGGCATTACCCTGATCCTTTGAGTTCCTTGGGGAACTGACAAGTCCCACCCTGCTTGTTGTTAAATTAATTATAACTAAAGTGTCTTCAATCTCATGTTAAGACTTAACTGTAATCTCATTTACTGTGTGGGAAGTGTTATCTGTTGCATGATTTAGGTAAAAATCTTACGAAAGAGATATTCCCAAACTACAGAGTGTGAACCACAGCTAAGCCTGAGCAAATGAAGAACACTTCTCTAACAAAATGAATTCATGTACATGAAAGAGCTTTGTAGATAAGATAAAAACATATAAATGAAGGCATTTCAAAGATAGCCACATGCCTTGTCTCACCTTGAAAGCATTCAGGTCCTCAACACTACAACTACACCATAATAAAAGCAGCATCTTATGAAATCAGATATTTATAGTGTTATTAAGATACTATAGGCAGTGAATTTATCAAAAAATATGTTTTAAACATTTCTATGTTTTCAAGCTAAAGAATAAAGAACAGACAGAAAGGTAAAAGAAATCTCTCCTTCAATAGAAATGGTCAACTTTGTATTCGTACCGTCTTTGGGGTGAGGGCAGATACCATCCTCAATGGAAACAGCCCTAGCAAGGCAGAGTTCAAAGGAGAGGAGTCAACAATAGAATGTAAAAATAATTAATTTCATGAAGCTGTGTTAATAACACTACCAACAGTTGTTCTCTGGTGAAAATAGTAATTAAAAAAGAGTCTTAGATACTTGCATCTTGTTCAAGTTCATCAAGTTCATAAGAAAAAGTCACTAAAGAAAAGTAACACATTGTGAATAAGATTATCGTGGGTTATAGCAACATGATTATAACTAAAAGCATTAAGAAGTTATCTCATAAGCTTTTGTGTGTGTGTGTGTGTGTGTGTGTGTGAGACTACTATTAACTGTTTTGAAAAATAGTATATACTGCTTTAAACTGATCAAAAAATATTTAGTCCAGATTTGGAAACACTTATATCACATAGATTTCAGCACATTAGAAGAAAACTTTAAATTTTACGTTACATCAGAAATAAGTAAGGCATACATTTTAAAGTCACTTTCAAGATTTTTGCAAAATCAACCTTTAAAAATATGCATTTTTATTATTTCCTGGAGCATGCACTTATTTGTATTGTAAGTATAAACATATTTTGAATTGGACAACAGTAGCTTAAGAGCAGTTTTGTTTATTTTCCACTGCCTGGGAGGCTTTTTTTTTTTTTCTGTTTGGGTGAAATAGAAAATGACAATGTTGGAAAGCTACATAGTAACTTCATTGCTAGGCTACATGTATGCCCATTTAATCTTCCTGACAGAAGTTTCCAGAGTGCTATGTACAAATATGTCATTGTTTCCTGGGACAGGAAGAGGAGGTAGGTTGACATCTTCTCCATACCATGTTTGTTTAGCAGGCTAGAGGGGCTTTAAAGGCAAAGGATACATATTCAATGAATAAACTTCAAAAAAAAAATACCTGACAACTCCACACTTTACACCAGGTAACAGAGGTGAGGGACACAGTTTTGTCTCAGTGTGTATTCAGGAGTCTTAGATCAAAGAGCAGACAGGTGGTTTTTTCTTTCTCTGTTCTTTAAAAACTGCCTGCTTTTCTACCTTCTTACATATTTATAAAATACATAAAGGGAGCATTCTGGGTCTTTTCCCCTGAAGGTCATATAAATTTTTCTCTATCTTTTTTATCTATTTGTCTATTTGTCTCTTTTCCCCATCTCTGTCTCTCTGTCTCATCTGAAGAACTTTAGTACTGTATGTTTGTTTTATGTGAGCCTTGTAAAATGCTTCTTTCAGCATTCCCAAAGTGATGCAGATGTGACTTATGAGTGGCACGACCTACGTTCCACCTGTGCCCCACCCACCCTCACCCTTTCTCCACCCAGACTCCCCACATCACACATGCACATCCCCTCACTCCAGGTGCCACTAGCCCTTCTGGATGCTGCATGCAACACATTAAGACTTTTAGATAGCTTCCCAGAAATTCTATCAGAAGATGAGAGAAAGCACATTCCCCAACATTCCAGGTGAGCTCTCCATCATGCTTTGGTGTCCCCACCTCTTAAAAGTTTTCCTTGCATTGGTGTTGAGTTCCCACACTATGTCTCCTTTGGAGCAGCTGGGATTATGATGAGGCTTGGAATGATAGAGGCTTGATGGTTGTTCCTGGTAAATCAAATACTTGATTTATTTGTTGGAGACATAGTTACATTCATATAAAATAACAGTTTATAAATTAGCTATGCAAGTATCAGTAGAAACATGAAAATCCTATTAAAGAAATGGTAACAGTATCCCAGCAGCTCAGGATGCTGAGGCAGAAAGATCACAAGTTCAAAGTCAGCCAAAGCAACAGTGAGGCGCTAAGCAACTCAGTGAGACCCTATCTCTAAATAAAAAACAAAATAGGGCTGGAGATGTGGCTCAGTGGTCGAGTGCTCCCTGAGTTCAATCCCCGGTAGCAAGAAAAAAAGAAAGAAAAAAAAAGGAAAAGAAAGAGAGAAATGGTAACATGGTAACAGTAAACATGAGGTTGGTAATGTGGTCTTCCTGTGGCACAACAGTATTGTTTTCTAGCACTGTACTGTTCTCTCCTCTAAAACCTGTAATAGCTTTACTGTAGTACCAGTATGATCTCTTTTCTCTGACATGGGCACTGCTCTTCAAGGTATTTTCTCAACCCTGTCGTATGTCCTTGTTTTTGGTACAATTTTAAATAACGAGGTTATCTTTCAGGTTTTAGATAAAAGCAGCACTGATGTTTCATTGAAACAAGAACAAAAGGAAGTTCCACTCATAAACGAAGGTAAAAATAAATCATTTTACAGAGATTAGCTCTAATATTTGAACCACTTTCCATAGGGCTTATGTGACAGCCTGAGATATAATCAGAAGTTTGCCAGCAATTTGTATTTTAGAAAATTAAATTTGTTGTTCCATCCAGAACTAGAAGGAGGGGTGGAGAAAGAATCAAGGGCTAATCTCACTCGTCTGGGTTGGACAGAGACACCTCCTGGTTGAGAACCGGGTCTCCCAAACTGCCACACTGCCTGAAATACCCATAGACTTGTGCCACTCTCTACATTGAATTTTATTTAGAATTTTGCCAAGGATTGATTATCAGGTCTATCATTTTGAGAATCTGTTTTGAAAATTGTAATGAAATTCCTTATTTTAATTGTTTAGTTCCTTTCCTGCCTTTCATGATTCCTCTGAAATCCATAAGAGTATTTCAACATATGTATTTATGAGTTCTTTCATTTCTGTGGGATATATATGTATATGTATATTTAAAGCATAAACTTGCCCTCATGATATTTAAGTCAAATTTAATCTCTTCAATTTTAAAATAATTGAAACAAATTGAATTTGGAATATTTTCATTTCTCAGTGTTCATTCGTCGTCATTACTATAATTCTTGTATTAGGCATTGTATTATTATTATCCCATTCTCTTTTTATTTTAATGTTATCTCATTGGGCCTGGGCAACACGTACATTATTTTCATCATTCTTGTCTTTATTCTGAAATAAGCTTGAAATCACTTCTTAGTCTCTTTAGTGAATCCCTGCTCAGTTGGCTTCATCCTTCCAGCCCTTTTTTGTGCCAATCCATGCCATCATTTTGTGTTCACTTTGGTGGTCAACTCTTCCTTCCTGTACATTCTGTTGCTTAGGTAACCTAATCAGCTATTCATTCACAACTTTATGTTTTCAAGCCCTTTACTGATGTCCCTAAGAAATCACATTTTTTTCTTTTTCATCTTAATTAGGATAATTTGTAATTCCACAATCAGGATTTCTTTTGTAAGACTCTCTTAATTCTAAAGCTGATCTTTTGTAGATGTTTCAAACTATTACTGTGCCTTCAAGCACTTCCAGATTGTAATGGAAAAATTGTTACTATAACTTTAATCCTGAAATTAATATTTAATTTTAAATATCCATCCTGGGTTTGGCAGGAACAAATTGTAAAATATTTTTTAAATGATTGTAATTATAGATTAATTGACTGTTGAGTTAATTTTTTTTACTTTGTATGCAAGTCAGAAAGTACAGCCAATGGTGCTTACCCTGTGCTTGGAAAACCTCTGGCCACCTGTTTTCTTTTATGTTTTCCTTGAAGAACTTGGCAGATCCTCAGCATTCTCCCACCATGTAAAACTTTTCTTCTTTGTGTCCTGTTCTCCTTGACCTTCAATATTCCTAAACTTATTGACAGAGGTCTACTTAATAGAACAAGATATCTGGGTATTTTTCAACAAAGAATTATAGAGAAGAATGGAAGGAGAACAGATTGACTCGTTGCTTACACTGTCTCCAAGACTCTTAGCCAATCCAAGGGAAGCTTATATTTCTACTTACAAAGGATTAGGAACAGATCATCAGCCTGAGGTCCCTTGAGTGAAAAGACTGACATGTGACTCTAGGTCTCTTTCTGCTTTCAAGTTTAGCTCTCAATTGGTGACACATTTTTCATGGGGATCTGTTAGAATAGCTTTGAAATGGAACTCAAAATGAGAGAGAATAAGATAGTAGAGGGCAGACAGTGTATATTTTGGCAGAAGTTAGGGAGCGCAGGGACTATGAACAGTCCTGATCAGTCACCCATACACTCATAATAAACACCAATAAAAATATATACATAAACAACCCACATAACAGAGGCTCTTGAATTATTATTATATATGCAATATTATTATATATGCATTACATACCTTATTAAAATTATTATAAAATACCTAAAGAACATATTTATAGATTGCCTCAAAATTGGTACAATTTACAGGTGGATATTTGAATCAGAACTAAATCATATAGTTAATGTAACAGTCAACATTTTTTTTGTGTGTGTGTGTGTGTGTGTGATTATCAAAATTGACTTCATTTTGTCTCTGTTCTTATGAAGAAAAACAGGAGCTGTGCAGTGATACTCCAGCAATAAAAAGAAACTCTTCATTTCCTAACCAGGAAAGGTGAGTGTACTACAATTATACAAATTCCAAGTAAGTGCAATTATACTGTTGAAAAGTAATTATCAATGTTTCAATACAAGACGAAAGAAAATAGTAGCAACAAAGACAATTAAGAATAGAACCAAATTTTACAGCAGAGACAAGAAAGAATGAAAATCCACCTTTTCCCCAAACCTTCTCATTTCTTTTGTGAGAATTTGGGGATAATAAAATGGAGCAGGATTAGCTTTCTACCCACTGCAAGTAAACAATTCTGGTTACTATGACGTAGTCAAAGCACTAAAATGTCACACACATATGAGGTATGACTGTGAAACCACAAACTGACTTTTTTTTCATGTGTGGGTCATTGACTTACTGCCTGATATGCCTATAATTATTATTATAATTGCATTCTAGACTTTCCTTGACATGAGAATTTTATCACTCATAAAATCAACTGGATATTTTAGAAAATCAGTAGAATTAAAAGAATGCTTTCAAAAAAGAAGATTCTTAACTTCTACTACAGATTTATTTAAGTGGGGTTTCAGGTGTTCAGACTCAGTTTCTCTGAATTCAGATGCTGTGCCTCTTACATAACAGCACATTAAATTAAGGGCAAGAAAAGAGAGAGGACCTTTCATTTCCCTGTACTTGGTAACAGAGTAGTTACTCCAGCACTAAAATCCAGCTTTACTGTTCTATTCAGAAACCTTCAGTTATAGTCAGCTTTTTCACTGCTATGACTAAAGGATCTAACTATAACAATTTTAAAGGAGAAAACGTTTATTTGAGGGCTCACAGTTTCAGAGGTCTTACTCCATAGAAGGCTGGCTCCATTCCTCAGGGCTTTAGGTGAGGCAGAACCTCATGATGGAAGAGTGTGGCAGAGGGAAGCAGATCACATGTTGATCAGAAAACAAAGACAGTCCACTGGCCAAATACACATATATACCCAAAGACATGCCGCAATTTCCACCTCCTCCAGCCACACTCTACCACTTTAGTTACCACTCAGTTAATCCCTGTCAGGGGATTAAATCACTAATTGGGTTAAGACTCTTATAACCCAATCATTTCTCCTATGAACCTTCTTGCATTGCTCTCACATGTGAGCTTTTGGGCAACACCTCCCATCCAAACCAGAACACCTTCCATAGCCTCTGTAGCCCTATCACTTTTAAGGTCAAGTACAGACCTCCACTCCTGCCCCTCCTTCTAATCAACACCTTGCTTTCCAGAAGTTCCAAATTACTTATAGTTTATTTTATCACATTATATCACCTGTTTGTCTACACTACTTCCCTTGCTTGTGTGTCCTCTGCAACTTGTGTACCCATCTCCCTTATCCTTTCATTCAAGCCTCAGTTCAAGCACTCTTTTCTGACTCTCCCAGGAAAACCCAGTTGTTCAGAGTCACTGCTGCACTGATTAGGTTGCATCATCATTCCTTCAATTTCAATAATTATTTGTTAAACACTAGCTAAGTTTTGACCCACAAGGGTGAGTCAAATGGAATTGTGTGGTCAAATATCTGTCTTTGCACTGCACAGATGCTCCTTAAAGACATGTCTTGTCTTCTTTGTAACTCTGAATCTGAGAGGCCTTCCCTGAGAAAAGAAACCTGCCCATGGTGGCAAGTCACATTCCCACTATGAAGTCATTCTGTGCTGGGTTTTTCAAAGCACTGATTACTGTTTTAAATTATCTGTTTTACTCATCCATTTATTTTACCACTTTAATTCTAGCTTGCTTGTTTTCCACTAGACACTAACTCACTCCAACAGAACAGAGTCAATCTTGTATCCAAAATGGCACCAGACTCATAATCATCAGTATCTGCTGATTGAATGAATGAATGCATTCCTTCCTCCAGTGCTGTTGCTAGGCTTTTTCATGGACAATGCTTTAATCTAGAATTATTTATTAAAATTTGAGCTATAATTTAAGATTCATGCAGACACTAAAACATAATTGTGCATGTATTATTTTCTATGACTTTTAGATATTTATTAAGTTGTGGAGGGTTTTTTTTAAATCATTGTTGACTCAAATACAATATGAATGTTAGAACTCCAACCCAACTAAAACAATCTTAATGGAAGAAATTTATGAAATGTATTACTAATGATAGTGATGCCAAGGATAATCATAATAATTATTGGATTCTATTTGACAAGTACTTACTACCAAGTATTGAGATAAAGTCTTTGTATATCCATTTAATCCTCAACAGAACTCTGCAAGGTAGGTCCTAGAATTCTTTGACAGAAAAAGGTCGAGAGAGGTATACCCTATGGTCTGATGTAGCATATTTTGCCTTCTGTTCCCAACACCAACATGAATTTCCAGTATCCCTGAAATATTTTTTTAAAGAAAGATTTCTCTTACTAAAATGTTAGCATAAAAGAAGTTATAACTAATGAACATTTAGACATTGGGTAAATATTCTTTAATAGGCATTCATTTATACAGTGTTCTTAATCTTAAAAAAAAAAGTCAGCTGAAGTTAGACAGTATAATTAAAGCCAAAGAACTGTTCACAATAGAAGTACATTCCATTTGATATAAGCTATTGTCCAATTCTAAAAGGCCATCTCCATATAAACACATAAACCTCTCAGGAACTGTGTCTGTGTGATAGGATTACAGAAATCTTCTTATTACTTGATACATAAGGCTCTGCAAGATCTGACCTCTACCCATCTTCACTTTGCATATTTTACTACCCTTGGCCTTTTGAATTTTTCTGTTCCCACCATTCCAAATCTTTGGTGTCCATAGCATGCTACACTATTTTGTGCTTCCTCACTGTGATGTATTTTCCATTTTACATCCAGGGGTCCTTTTAAAACTTGTATCTCATCATCCTGCCTCTGTGCCTGAAACCTTCCCATGCTAGTGCCTTCTGCATGGAAGGAACACAGTTCCCTCTCCAAGGCCACCAACTCTCTCTCACCTCAGCCTTCTCCCTCTGCTTCCTGCTTCCTCCATCCACCAGCTTCGACCTTCTTGTTCTTCCTTGAACAGCTCTCTACCCCAGGATCATTACACTTTACCTGGAGCACTCTTCCTCTGGATCTTTGCTAGTTATTTCTCTTAACTGCCTTTATTCTTTTTGGTTTTGTGTCAGTGCATTTCTCTGGGTTTTTTTTTTTTTAAAGAGACAGAGAGAGAGAGAATTTTTTAATATTTATTTATTTATTTTAGTTTTCGGCGGACACAACATCTTTGTTTGTATGTGGTGCTGAGGATGGAACCCGGGCCGCACGCATGCCCGGCGAGCGCGCTACCGCTTGAGCCACATCCCCAACCCTTCTCTGGGTTTAAAACAGAACTTAAGTCTTTTCCTGCAGAGAAGAAACAAGTGTTAAATGACTAGTGTCATTAAGAATAAATTATCACCAATGCTGTTTAGTTGTGGCTACCCAAAAACTTGACACAATATATAATAAGAATAAATGGTGATAAGTCTAATTAAGAACTTATTTTATATAATGACTACATATGTGGAAATTTATGCCATTTTATTTGTTGTGTATTAAGATTCCATTTGTTTCTGAAACTATTAGTATCTAATGTGGTTCCTACTTTGGAATTATGCACCCCAGCTCGTCCTTTGCGCCAATGGAAGATTTCAGTCCAATTTCTGGACACGAAGCCAAAGTTTCTGTGGGTGATGGTTGTAAAGTTGCATCTTCACTGGTGACATCTTCTCAAAGCACAATTGTCAAGGAAACGGCAAGAAAACTGATGTCTAATTTAAGGTAAATTCAGTTACTTTGTTTTCCCACATGCTTTGTTGAACTTTCAAAACAGTGACAACTGTGTTTTATTTTTCCTGAGTGGTCATATAATGGAGTAAATTCCATGGAGTGACTTTGTGACTTGTCTTCTAACCATACTGAATTAGATATACCACAGGTTGAAATAGAACTACAGTCACTAACTGCCTACCATCATATGGCCCTGCAGTATGGTGGACATTGGTCCTCATTTGAATGCAATAAAGAATTTGTACTGAAATTGCTTATTACTTTTTTTTTCTCCCATACAAAACCTCTCAGGATACTTTTAGGCCTTTTAAAATATCTATTTTTGTATTAACTTACTGAGAGAAACTGAGCTTTACCTTGTTGTTCGGTGCAGCATGTTGGCACGTGTAGTCATGGTTAGTGAAGAGGTTAGGTATTTGGAGCTCTGTTCTCAAAGGATGGAGACATGGAAGAGTAAAACCCAGGATTCAGGGGCTCTCCAAATAGGGACTGATGATGGAAGGGGGCTTTATGACCAAGCACCAGACATCTGTGTACAAGAGGGCTCTAAATAGGTGTCATGTAGTAGAAGGAGTGGGGGAGCAGGAGTAGCACTGAATTAGCACACCTCCTGGTTTCCTAGGGTTTAGTCTGGGAGGGGCCTCTGTGGGGAGAGGCTCTGGACCAAGGAGAGCATGCAGCATGCTCTAGCTCAAGTAGTGATTTTCTCATCAGTGACTGACAGAATCCTCCTGAAGGGGAGAGGAAGGAAGAAAAGGTGGAGGAAAGGCCTGTCTGGAAGTGCTACAGCCTCTCCTAGTGCTCTGGCTTTGGTCATATTTGTGAAAGTAGACCACTGAGCACAGTGGGCACAAACTCACTTCTGCAGCTGCCCAGGGCTTTATGGAAGTCTCTGTGGCAGTATGCAGGGCTTCAAGGCTCAATTTAAATGGTATGTATTTACCTGATACACCCTAGCATCCATGCCTAATACCCGTCCTGCCCCAGGAGATAGAAAGCACTCTGGTTATAGGTAACAAGACAAGGTGTTAACTGAGCAATTAAGCCAGTGTCCTCATCACTAGGTTCTGACCACCTAGATTGCCTGGGCTACCCAACTTACACAATCCTGGAAGTGAGACAGGAGGAGGATAGACCTTAGCATTGGACAGGTGTCATGAGGTTGTAAAGGCCACTAGTCCAATGATCTGGAATGATATCAGTATTGTACTGCTATGTGCCTCCGCAGAATCCTTGAAGAGTCAAAATCTCCAACTGGCTTCTTACCCTGTGTCAGGATTTTTTCCAAAATTAGTATATAAGAACCTAAGTTTTAAGTTGGGTAGCCTTAAATTTAAATACTGGTTGATTATTAACTATTTCTTAGATTTGGGCAAATCCATTGGTCACTAAAGTGTGGTAGTATGCAATAAATTGTGTGTGTGTGTATGTGTGTGTGTGAAAGAGAGAGAGAGAGAGAGAGAGAGAGAGAGAGAGAGAACAAGAGTGAATGCACACACACACACAAGCACATGTTGTAAACCCTACTGTTAACCAAATATAAATTGATTAAGTGTGAAAAGTCTCCAAATCATCATTGCCTCTTACATTGAGTCTTTCTTGATGATATTAATCACTACCATTTTGAACCTTTATTTTAGGCATTCATTTAAGTATTAATTAATTAATTCCTTAGTTTTATAAATTTACAAGATTGATATCATATTTTTTTCTTTTTTTTCTTTTTTTAAATGGATGAGGAAATTGAAGCTTAGAAAAGCTAAATAACACATTGGAAGTCCTACCAACAATTACAAAGCTACTAAGAATGAGGCTGGGTGTAAGCCCAGAGTCCTTGATTTGAATGCCCACACTCTTAATCCTAGGCAAACAGGTGTATGTCTTTCCTTGCTCTCCATACTAGGGGACTGGAGAGACCCGAGCATGTTGGCAGCAACTTGGAAACACTTCACTTTTATTTCCAGTTGGATAAACTTTCTTTTCCAAATTCATTATTTTCCTTATTTTCACTTAGCTAATTTTTGTTCTTCATATACATTCCTATTTATTTTAATGATTGCATGTGATCAAAAAGGAGGTAATTTCATTCAATGTACTAAGACTTTAAAGATTAAGCATCAATAGAACATTAAAATTACCCACCCATGTCCCTCTCTGAACCTCCTGCCTAATGAAAACGCAGGTACCTCCTTATTGCTTAGAATTGTCACACTACCATCACCCCACCACCACCATCACCCCAACATTCTGAAAGCCAAATGTATTAGTATGTCAGCTCTATTCTGTGCCAACTTAAATTTTCTCTGGTGATTGATTTATTCAAACCATTCAGTGGGGAAAGTAAAGGTGTGCAGAACACAAGTCCTCACTGGAGTAGAACACGTTCCTCATTTTACCTGTTTTCTTCCTTTAGGAGCATTTACAAAGAAAACAGAGTTCTTGTTTTCTTTGCTAAGTGCTTGTTTTATTTTTTGCGCTCCTCTATTTTGTATGTGGTCCACATGTCGTATCTTGAGTCAACTAGACTTTACCTCAAGAGGAAAAAATTGTGGCTGGTAGTGTGTGATATGAAGGGGACAGTGTTGTCCCTACCCAGAATTGCTTACCATCTTCACCTTGATTGTCACATGGCAGAGAGCAATGCCTGACCTTCCTTTGTGAAGAGTCCTGACTCTCCCAGACCTGCTGCCAGCCTCTCTTCCCACATAGCCCCAGTAGGTCTCACCCTCCTCCATTTCATGATGCTAGCTGAATAAATTCATTTAGAAGGTAGCTTTATTGTCTTTTTCATTACCCGATTATGCTCAGTTTAAAAGTTTTTCTTATGTTATTTTTGTTCTATATGTATCACTTTAATTCCCAAATAGAATAAATTCTTTGAAAATAGATTGGCTTTTTCATATTATGTCTAACATTTATTTGCATGTATTCAAAGAATAAACTAAATAGAAAGGAAAATATCAAAAGTGGATAGTGTTGCTGGATGTTAAAATATTTTCATATAATGGGGTGGGACTAAGTCTTGTTAAGTTAGAGGGAAATAAGCTGAACTGGGATACAGACTATTAAATTTTCTAGGCAGGTCCTAAACATTGGAGTAGTATCAAATTTCAAATCACTTTGAACAGTAATAATAGTAATAGTATTAATATAGATTTGTACATACTTGGTATGTACCAGACACTATCTGAAGGGCTTTGCATGTGTTAACTCTCTTAAACTTTACGATGATCTATAACTACGTACTTTTATTATTCTAATTAATGGTTGATAAAACTGAGACATGTACAGGTTAAATAATTTGCATAACACTAAAGTAGCACACCTGGGATTTGAATCTGTCTGTCTGGCCCAACAGTCCTTGCTTTAATTGCTAAATTCTAATACCTTGTTTGGCTTATTATTGTATTTATGAACTTGAAAATATATTCTTGATTTATTTTAACTCTATAAAAACCTGCTCTGTGTTATCTTTAATTTTAAAAATAACAAAAATTCAATTTAAAAAGAAAGCCACTTTTTAAGGTTGCTGCCTGTTGCTCAAGTAAAAGAAAAGACCACAAAAATACAACTAGCAGACAGGTCTGTTAGAAACCATGGCTGGATTCCTGGTTTTAGAAAGTGGAATCCTGTAATTTCCATTGCATCCTGGTCTTTCACTGGGTTGACAAAGAGAGTTTTAATCAACCTCAAGTAGGAGACTTGCTCTTCTTAGCCAGCACTAAGCTGATTAACCAGATTAATGTTTTAAAAGATTCGGTGGATTCAGGTACCTCTACGTGGCCCTGCCCACGTCTGCTGTGTCTAGAAGGGGAATTCTGTTAATTAAGTCAGAGATTCTTCTTGCCATTTCCACTAAGAAAACACTCATTTGGTTGAGACAGTAGTATGATTATGGAATGAAAGGGAAATGACCTTTAGCAGGAACATTCAAAGCTTGTCCATCATATTTAGAGATAGCTCTGAGTGTCGGCTCCCTCATTGAATCCTGTGAAAGCTTCTAGATAGAGATTCTACAGAAATCCAACTGAGATGGGCACCATCGCCAAGTCCTGGAAGCAGGTAGTAGCTCTGGAAGAGTTCTTTGGAAGATTTAATTCTTGAGTTCTTAAGGAGAGAAAAAATGTTAAAGATAAATTCCTGGTATTATTGTTAAGTCTGGATGTAAAACTGTGAGTCAGTGCTTCAGGGGAAGGACTGTTCCTAGGCAGGACAAGAGTCCTGTTGAACAGCAGTATTTGGTTCAGGAGTCCCTTAAAATGGACAGTATCTTCTTAATTCAGCAAAGGAATGAATGGACAGTTGTTTTATTCCTATAATTTTACACTGCATGTCTCCTGGCCCATCTCCTTGAAGGGCCCTTATATATATGAATAGGATCATGTGTCCTAAAGAAAGGCTGAAATTTGAGGGCAGAAGAGGTTTGATAAGATGTACTCTTCAGAACAAAAGAGAACATCTCTGGCGGATTCCACAGAAGACTCAAGCCAGTAACTGAAGGAGTTTTTAAAGAACCGTTCAACGTCTACAATGAGATGTTTGGTAATATTTTAGTATCTTCTATGTGTGATTTTTTATATCTTTACACTTATTATTAATACTAATATTTTTCCTGAATTAATTTGGCAGGAAAAGGAGAGGGCCTATATGTTTGTGCTTAGAGACTGCAAGTCACTGGCTGGGTTATCTTTCTCTTTAGTCAGTCTTGTGGGACAAAATCCCCAAGGGAGAAGCTACTTAGCAGCAACTCTATTTAGAAGAAAGTAAAGATGAAATCCTGAGAGGGAGAGAGAAGGAGAGAGAGAGAGAGAGAGAGAGAGAGAGAGAGAGAGAGAGAGAGAGAGAGAGAGAGAGAGAGAGAGAAAGAGAGAGAGAATGAGAATGGTATAGGGAATCTGCGTTGGCCTGAAGGAGTGTGTCCTTCACAGCCAGAAAACAAGAGAGCTTCCAAATAGGAATCTCTCCTCAAAGTGTTTTCATAAAGATGACATGAAATTATGAACACAAGACAGCAGTGGTTGGCACATTTCTGGAACTCTGTAAAGGTAGTTAGATCTGACCCAAGTGTCTCAGATCTTTTACCAAAAAGAACATACCCAATTTCCCAATGTTGGGTGCAAATGAAGAATACTTATTCACATCCCCACCCCCATGTTTGTCTAACTCCAACTCTTTCTTTGGGGCTCCCAAATATGAATGAGGGCTTTCAAATATAAGCCAGGGCTCCCAAATACATGAGTTAGGGCTCCCAGTAGGAGTCGGGGCCTCTCCTCGGGGCTGTAGTGCTACATGCTCATCCTCTTGGAGCGCTGCCCACATGGTTGTGGAGTGGCCCACTTCTTGGCATTCCACATTATGTTGAATCAGTGCAGAAAATAGTATTGGGATCCTAACATGGAGGGCATGATGTGGGCTCTGTGAGGCTCCACAGAGCAAATGCTGTTTTAGTAGTTTGAAGACAAATTATCCGTGAAATTAATGAGTTTGAGAAAATATGAAATCACAAAAGCTGCAGTGATTTCAGTAAAACCTTCACATGAAGTAGTGTTCAATTGTTAAATTGCATCTGTCTATCATCTATTGATTTGTGGAAATAATAGTACATGTGTGAGACACATTCTTCAGGCTGTAGATGATGTTTAGGGGACATTTTGATGTAGAGACAACACAGATGAGAATTATCCAAAATGAAACCAGAGGGTTTTCTCTCCCCAACCTATCCCTTCACCCCCTCCCACTTCCCCCCAAATACCAGCACCATATATTTGTTTATCTAAGAGTATTTCTTAGATGACTGTTGAATTTGCTCTAAATTTAAATAGCAAAAAATGTATGCTTACCATGGAAAGGGTCCACATTTAGGAGTGGTTTCAACCCTGTGGTGGGGAAGCATGGCAGATCTGAATGGAAGTGGGAATGTTTCGTATGGAAGACTTCTCACCACTCCTGTCCCACCAAACCAGTCACAAGGCCAACAGGTTCCCTTTCCCAGGGACTCCAGTTGCAGCTTTCTTTCTGTGCCATCTGATTTCTTCTCATCTCAGATACCTGGAAGCTCATTTTCATCCCATCCCCACCCCATCCATCTTCTTCTAGCCAGGCAAGTCAGTCTGGGGGGCTGTGTGTATTACATTTAATATTTGGGCAATGCTGAAACTTTCTGGCTTAAATCTCCTTGAAACTATAAATGCAGATAAAATACTAGGAATTCATTATAAGAAAGAACTGTTTTATCTCTGGTGTACCATATTATTTTACAACGGAAAAGATTTTGTCAATCCTTTAGATAATATGCATGAGCATCTTGGAGCTGATCAACATCAAAACACTATACACTTTTAAGATGTGATGTTTATGAATTTCTATATTTCATATTCTCCCAGAAATGAAATATGTGTCATCTAAGTGATTAATCACAGAAAAGCTGTCACATTAGTAGGGTGGGTGCCACTGTCTTTTGGTAAAGTAAAGCACCTGTCGGAGCAATGGCCACCACTGTTTTGAAAGAGCAGACTAGATATGATTTCTAAGAGTAGTCCCAGATACCCTAATGAAGATAATTGCTTTGCAGAATTAAGCTCTTTGAATTCCTTGGAGAAAAAGTCAATAATCGAGGAGCTGCTTATTTTCCTCCAGGAAGTTTGCAATGCTGAGTTCTCTGCAGAAAAGAACACTCAGGCAGGTGCCCGGCTTTCTTGGACTGGTTGGTGACAAATTGCTAGGCTTTGTGAGCTATTTTTTTTCTTCCTGTTCCCATTTTCTTTTCTTTTTCTTTCTTTGCCTTTCCTTCAATATTTTTAAAAATTTTTCAAAGAATGTAAATTTGCCTTCTGTTTTAAGAAATAATGCAGAAATCAGACTGTACCCTTCACTCAGTTTCTCCCAGTTGCAACCTCTTGCAAAACTAATCAGAATGTCGATGTTGACACAGTGAAGACACAGAACATTTCCATCACTGCAAGGGTCCCTTCTATTGCCCTTTTATAGCTACATTCATGTCCTTTCCCCCAGTCTGTGCTTCTTGAAGAGCACTTTAATGCCAATGGTAACAAAATATTTGGGAGGAGTTAATGTTGATCTTTGCCAGATATTTAATACCCAGGGGACAAAACCAATTCTGACAGGTGAATGCTGCACCTCTTGTCTTGGTATATTCCTATTTCTGCTCTGCTTGCATTCCTAGGGAGGTCCTTCTGTATTTTTTTCCTGAGTATCAGCTACCATCAGTATTTGACTGCACATCTGCAGAAGAACTCAGAGCAAGTTCTGAGGTAAGCGGTCTTTTTGGAACTCTGAAGGATGACAAAATAGCTTGGATTTAGTCCTCAGTGAAGAAAAATGTAAAATGGTACCAGTGAGAGAACCTAGAATGGCTTAATGGAGTGAAGATAGGATCTTTATACTGACTTTGTATCAGAATCAACAGTGTCTATGAAATCACATTGGTAGAGCCAGGTGGAGAAGATCTTACAGATGGAGAACAGTCACAGGGATCAAAAGAAATGGGACATGGTGACTGACTCCCCTCTCCCTGACCCAAAATGGTTTCTATTCCATAGATGCAATTCCTCAGTGGCTGGTTAGGAGGGGCTGAGCTGAGGTTTGGGTGGGTCACCATATCAGGTGCCAAGAGCACTAGTCTGATTAGAATCAATAAAACGTCACAAGAGGTGATGAAGATGATTGTATTTTCCAAGCCTCCTTGTGTATGAGTGGAAGGAACCTTGGTCAACCACCTGAGGTGCAAAGGGTGAGCCTAGTTGTCATGTCCCCATCAGTAACATCTAGCAGTACTACACATTCCTCCCGCCCAGTAGGGCTGAGGGGCTACTGAGGAGTGCAGGCCAGCTGGGCAGCTCCAGGGTAGAGGAGACAGCCAGCGCAGCACAGGAGCACAGGAGGACCCTTCTCCACACCATGCTCAGCATCTCTTGTGGGATTGACAGATATGGAAGGAAAGGCTCTCAGTGAAAAGAGCACAAATTATTAATTAGACAAAAGTGCCACATGCCCCAACTGAACCTGGGTGAAATTCCTTGATTTCCATTGTACAGTCTACTTTTTTACCTTCTCCTTTTACCCTGTACTCTCCGTGGAACGTCCAGCTCCATTACCTAACTGGGACCTTCCTCCTCAGTGCCCCCAAGAGCTCTTAGCTGACAAATGCTTAGTCACTTCTCTGTCCTGACTTCCCCAGGCTCTCGACCCAACCATCCCCTTTCCCCTTCCTGGAGCACTCTCTCTGCATGGCTTCCCCGCACTACACACTTCTCACTTTCTTCGACTACCTCCCTCTTTATGGTGATTCCTTTTCTGCTTGGATTCTGAATGTCATCATGTCTGAGGGTGTGTTCCTGAACTGCTTTCTTCTATCAAATGCCATTTCTGGATGATTCTTACACTAACCAGCGACTCCCAGGCTATTTTTTAACTTTCTCTTTCAAGAAATCCAGACTCCAGTTGCCTTTAGACAGCTCTTTTTTCAATATTTACAATTTTATCACTTAATTTTCTTTCAAGCTTATTTTTTTATCACACATTTTTTAACCATGCTGTATTTATTTATGTAAACCGCTTTAACCATTTTTTAGTTTTGTTTGGAATGAAATGAGGTATACTTTAGTTAATTAATTTATTGGGATCCAAGCTTAAAAGACCAATAGTACCACTGTTGGCTGGTTCTAGGTTTGTTTATACTAGATACTTGCATGATATAACTCTGTTGGAGGCACTGCATTCTCCAAAGTTAATATCTTGTTCTCTTATCACTTATGAAAACAGCTGGAGCAATGCCCAGAGCAGACGAACAAAAAGCTGAAAATATGTTTCAACCAGGTAAGTCTGTCTTCAGTGTAGTCATTTATATTCTAAATGACCCATGTTCCAAAGGAGAAATAATATAAATTTCCAAATGTTAGTTTGGAAGGAAATCAAATTTGCATTTACTTATCAAGACTGAGATTAATGTGTAGTACATCAGATGTCATAAAGCAACATCTTTTGAATTTTAAAATGCAAATGTTCCCACAACATACAGCTTATGAAGCACTTGGAGTAGAACTGTTTTGACAGGAAACAGGAAATTCTCAGCCTTTAAGAATTATTTGCCATCAATAAATGGGCAAAAGAATCAAACAGACACTTCTAAAAAAAAAAAAAAAAGAAATACAAATGGACAACAAATACATGATAAAAATGTTTAGTATCCCTAGCAGTCAGGGGAATGCAAATCAAAACTACATTGAAATTTCATCTTATTCCAGTTGGAATGGCAATCATCAAGAATACAAATAATAATAAATGCTAGTGAGGATGAGGGGGAAAATATACACTCATACATTGTTGATGGAACTGAAAATTAGGACACATTTCTGGAATGCAGTATGAAAATTCCTCAGAAAACTAGGAATGGAACCACCATATGACCCACCTATTCCACTCCTTAGTATTTATCCTAAAGAACTGAAATCAGCATACTATTGTGATACAGTTATATCAACGTTTGTAGCAGCACAATTCATAATAGCCAAGTTAGGATCCAGCTCAGGCACCCATCAACAAATGAATGGATAACATCTCTTTGAGTTTTTTCCCTTAGTATCTTATCAGTAGTTACTAAGAGTATGATTTTTCCATTTTAAAAGTAATTATTAATAATCTAAAGAAAGAATTTAAAGAAATTTATCCATTGTCCCATATCATCCAAGTTTACTGATTGATGCTAATAGTTTTTGGTACTTTATTACAACCTTTCTTTCTCTCTATATATAGATTTTTTTAACAGTATCTAGTTTTTAAAGATTTCCTGGGGCATAATAGAGTGCACAATGTCCATCAGTTTTGTGATAGAAATTGCCCTCAATTCCCTTATTTCACACTTTAGGGAACAGGGACTCCAAGATGTGAACTCAGCCAAGCTAAGAGGGGGAATTCATGCTGGAGCTGGGATGACCAGTTGTCATTCAGACATCTCCCTGGTGCCATAAGAGCCTAGAATTTTTCATGGCACAAGATCAATACTGAGATGTCAGGTCATCATTCACACTTTACCTGTGTTTTCTCAGACCTACACCAGCTCCATCACCAGCACATACATTAGCATCTTCTTCCATGTGCTGGTGCCTATAGCCTTCTTCTGGAAACTACCATAACAGTATGCACATGTATAAAGACTAGGAGGTGAATGGTTCCCCTGGAGCTCTTCAAAGCACAGCTGTAAGAAGAGAGCCTCATATCTCTCTCTCTCTCTCTCTCTCTCTCTCTCTCTCTCTCTCTCTCTCTCTCTTAAATTCTAGTTATACATGACACTAGAATGCATTTTGACTCATCATACAGAGATGGAGTATAACTTCTCATTCTTCTGGTTATACATGATATAGAGTTGCACAGGTCATGTTATATAATGTATGCACAAAGGGTAATAATATCTGATTCATTCTACTGTCATTCCTGCTCCCATACTGCCTCTCCTCCCTTCACTCCCCTCTGTCTAATACAAACTACCTCTATTCTTCCCTAGCCCCACCCTTATTGTGAATTAGCATCTACATTTCAGAGAAAACATTCAACCTTTGGTTCTTTGGGATTGGCTTATTTCACTTAGCATGATATTCTCCAGCTCCATCCATTTACTGGCAAATGCCATAATTTTATTCTTTTTTAAGGCTGAGTAATATTCTATTGTATATACATATACCACAATTTCTTTATTCATTCATCTGTTGAAGAACACCTAGGTTGGTTCCATAGTTTCGCTATTGTGAATTGGGCTGCTATAAACATTGAAGCCTCATCTCTTTTATAGAGAATGATGTATACTTGAATATTCATACTTTGTAAGTGAAAAAGAATTGTGAATTCTCAGAAGACATATGACTAGGAAGACTTGAAATGAAAATTAGAACCTAAACCAAATTACTTTTTATAAAGGCACTATCATCATAATATATTCAATTTTTTAGCTTTCCCAAATTTAAAAACCTTTGTTGGTATGTTTGCCTCTAATGTTTCAGACTGAGTGTCTGGTTGACTATGCTAAGCAACTAGGAATGAAAGGAGATTGTACTTAGTTTCTCATTACTGTTTAACTGCAAAGTAAATTTGTTTTCTGAATAATGTTTTTTTTTTAAAAAAAAACAGGAATTAAACATTTTAGTTTGAAGCTATCTTGTCAATGTTTCTTATGTAGAATAAAAGACAAAGTTTACTTTCAGTTTGTTTTTGCCCCTATTTTAGCACTAATGTTATTTTAATCAACTAATATGGAATTGTGATTGATTGAGCCAGATGCTAAAGTCCATTTCTGTATGTTACCTAATGTCACCCTTACAGCTTTGGGAGGCAAGTGCCACTATCTCCATTTTAGCAATGAAGAAATAGAAATTCAGAAAGATAATATCCCAATGCCATGTTGCAAATAAGTATTAGATTTGGGATTTCAATTCAAATTTGTCCTGCTTTTAAGTTCTTTCCATTATACTACTTTTCCCCCATCTTATTCTTATCCAGACTTCAGTGCTTGATCTTTGTGAAACAGTTTGCACATATTACTTGCAGTAGTTCTATTATAGCTCCTCAGCAGGTCGATATTGAAGAATTGTCTTCAAATTATTTGAGACCTTGAAATTATAACATGAGATGTATGTAGTAAAGATGCTCAAAGTGGAATCTTTAGGTATAGTGTGTGTGTGTGGTAGCAGGTTGGCTTAGTGCCCAGCAGGAATTGATTATCCCAAATGAAAGTCTGGCTATGGAGAGTGGTGTTGTCCCACAGGTTTTCATCTAATGATCAGGAACTCCGGTTTATACACTTACGCTATAAAACTTAGAAATCGGTTAAGAATTAGACTGTCATCATTGAAGTTTATCCAATTATGTTTTCCTTTTCATATGTATTTACAAGTGATATTTTTCCCAGTGTCTACACTGTCAGTAAAGGGGCCAGGTTGTTGGGTCTTGGAGGTCAGAGTGAATAATATAAGTGTTAGGGTCAACAGTGTTAGCATATAGGATGACTAGAATCTTCTTGATATTCAGGACAAGTGAGATTCAAAGGATCAAAGTAAGCTAAACAGTCAAGAAGGCAGGATTTCCTGTTGAAACTGAGATAGGGAACAACTAAAATCATAGCTTTCCTAACAATGAAAGTGTGGTCTTAAGGACTTTCTAAATAACCAGTGGCTTTAGGCAAATGGTTATAAGAACCATACGAATTTTTTCTTGAAATCCACGTGAAGGACTAATCTATGCCATTTGCTTTAGGGTGTGTACCTTTAATAAAGAAATCCACATAGAATACTTGGTGAAAGTTACCTCATCTCAACTACATCCGTAGTTTTTGTAACTACTGTTAGAGTGGTAGGTGTTCCGGCCACAGTGGCCCTGCACCATCCGACCTGAACTGCCATCTTTTTTTTTCATTTCTGCTCAAAAGTCATTTGCTCCATCTAAAATGAATATCTCAACATCACTTCAACCTCCATTACCTGGTCTACCTCGGAGCCTTGCCACATGCTGCCCCCTAGCTTATCCATACTCCCAGCCTACAGTGGGTCCTTTGAAGACCTCCCACTCTATTTAGAACTTGTCATGATAATCTTTTACAAAATCATTGCCTTGTCTTGCTGTCTGAAATAAATTATGACCTCTCTGTACTATGAGAGAACCTAAAAATTTTGATTTTATCATTGATTAAAATGTCTACTTTCTATTACAATAATTTCTTGTGTCATTTTCTCCTCAACTGGATTACAAAGTCCTTGAAGTTAGTAATCCTATCTTATCCAAATATGTATCCTAGCAGCATTCAGTAGGTACCTTTGCATCTGGATTTTAACATTTATGTATTGAATCGTAGTTGATTATTTCTGCTGTAGTGTCTTCCTGTAGAAATTCTTACATGAATACCCCCATTTGTGTGGTACAAAAGCTGTAGATCCCACAGGTCTTCTTTATTTCATAGCTTGTTAAGATTGTGGCACTGCAAAGTTGCTAGAGCTGGATTTTATGAACTCAAGGCAGAAGATTTAAATCTTTGTTGAATATTCTTTCCTTCAAAACTTTTTTTTAATTAGTTTCTCATGACAATACAATGATCTTGTCATATCCTTCAAATCTTAATTCTGCTCTGTGACTCTGCCCTCCTGGGTTGAATCATTTACTGTCCTTGACCTTCAGGCCAGGGGAGAGGACAACCCCTAGGTTTTCCTGAAACCTCTGAGAAGCTTCTGAGAAGCCTCCTAGAGGTAGTTGTTGCCTTAGTTTTAAGTTATCAACTTTGTATAGGATGAATTAAAGATGTTCAAAAGTGGATTCCTTATAGCTAACAACAATGTATTATATATGTACAACAATGTATGTATATATGTATATTACAAGAGACAATTTGAAACATAATTCATCATAAAGTTACAAGAGAGGATTTTGAATATACTCATCATAGAGAAATGATGAAAGTTTAAGGTGATGGATATGATATGTTAATTACCATGCTTTGATCATTGCTCAATATATACATTAATCAAAGCAAAACAAAACAAACAAGCAGATTCCTCTCCAAGATGTTTGCAGCCTGGAAAAGCAGGCTGGCTCCATGTGTTTGAAATTCTCTTGCTGTGATTGCTGCATATCTGCTCTCTTGACTCCCTGCTATTTAGTGCTATGTTCCAGACCTTGGAAATGTGGAGAGGAATAAAAATAAATCCTTTTTACATGGAGGTTATATGTAAAGAGGGAGGGACAGATAACAAACCCACAAAGGAAAAGGAATTCAGAGGCACATATTGACAGATGATAAACCCATAAATACGTAATCATGATATAATTTGCCATAAAATAATTGTGCAGGGCCAGGCACAGCGATGGTGTGTTTGGGAAGAAGGAGGTGATTTTCAGAAACAGTGGGCAAGGGGCATCTCAGACCTGAAGCAGGGAAGGAGCTTTGTGCTAATATGAGTTGAATTTACTGGACTGAGAAAGCAGCAGGAGCAAGAGGCAGGAATGAGGTTGGTGAATGCTTAGAAGAATGAGTCCTGGAACTCAGGAAACAAGGCGAGAACAGGTGGACACAGACCAGGGATTTCAGAGTCTAATTCTTGGTGCCTAACACCAGCTTTCAGGAAGTTTAAGCCACTAAAAATCTAAGATTTCTTTACATAGCCATCTGCAAACCTGAGAATTAGTCTCATCTTTAACATGTTGTTATCCACACACACGGCCCATGCTTGATGCCAAAATGGAGTGTTGTTTGGTCCCTGCTCCCACATACTCCTCTCCACTAATGGTGGGTGAAGTGTGTACATAGTCGAGGTGAGTTGCTCATATAACCCAAAGTCAAGTACTCCGAGTCAGGATTTCCATGCTCTTTAATTGAATGGAGACTCCTCACCCTTCTATCAACTCTAACAATACCCAAGCCTTACCTGGGGACATAGTACCCTTTCTCCCATAAGATATAAAGTTTGCATACTTGAATTGGCTCATGCTGTCAACTAGAAAGTTCTTGGGGACAAAGACTACCTTACGTATTGTATTTTTCTATCACCTATAATTAATGCCTCAAATTTACAAAGTACTGATGTTTATTAGAATTATAGATAATACAAGATTTTTTTGTTTAAATAATTTCATAGAAAGAGGAGAAACTAGTGAGAGCAGAGTGTGTAATAGTGATGGTGTGGGCAGTGCCTGAGAAGGGTCTACTTGTGTTCATGAAGGTGATGGATGGAGGTGAGCGGGCAGGGCAGGCCCAAGAGATGAACGTGGCTGCTTTACAATTCTCCTTGCAACCCAGTCATGTTAGAATTCAGAAATCTTCTTATTATAGGAAACATTAAAATGTTTGTCAAAATGGGATTTTTCCCTGTATGTCTTTTCTCAGAATATCCCCTGTTCTCTTATAATGGTAATCAGAGCAATTAATGCCATTCTAAAATTGAAGCATCTTTCCTCTCTGTTGCCTATCCTGCTTTATGAGATCCCCAAGCACAACATGCCATCTTGGAAAACAGCCATGACCTCTGAATTAGCAAGAGGTCAATGGTTAGCAGTCCATACTCTTCACAGTAGGATAAAGAACGTACACAGAGTGAGGAAACAAAATTCCTCATTCTGTAGCTTCTGTGCTTTACAGTTACTACACTTGAGTCACAGATAACATATCATCTTTAAGGTGGCCCAAGCATTGGCCATCTGTCATTGTCCATGAGCTGCTGGTGCTGTGGAGAGTAGGCCATAGGAACCTTCCCCCTTTGTGCATTGAATGATTTTACATTGCTAATGGGAGAAGAAATTCACATTCATGGAGTTCTTCATTCCAAAGCAAGGGTCTCTGAGTCTACCTTGGTGTGCCTCTCCAGTTCTTATAATTATAGGAATATGGTACATATTACCTCCTCTCTCTCCCTTTCCCATCAGAGAGTTAGTTCCTTAAAGGTATCCTCAGTTTGGACCACCTGTCAAACTTAGATGCAGGGTTGATGCTTGGTACATGTGTGCAGTTGGAATATGAAATCACCTCATTTATTAGGGGGAATGGTAATATTTTAAAAACATACTAAGACTGTTTAAAAAACGTTCTCAGATCCAGAATGTTTACATGGTCCAATATGAAAAGAAAATAAAAAGAAAAATGCAGTGCATCATCCATGATGCAAATAGAAGAGGAATTCTTAATGAAATATCTCTGGGACACTGTGAACAAAAAAGAAAAACTACTGAGGATAAACTGAAGAATCTTCGTGTAAAACTGGCAATGTTGTTGCAGACACTTCAGCTGGTGAGTGATGACACTGTATATGAGTAATAGGAATATGCTCTGTGGCTAGACTCCCCTCCTAACATCATCATTTGCTTACTGACCTGGGACAAGTCACCTAACCCCATCCTTGCTGCCACTTAAAGAGTATCAAAATCATCAATAAATGAATTTTGGAAAAAATATAAGAATATTTATAAAATTTCATTCTTTTTTTCTTAAAAAATCAGAATTTTTAATTGTTCTCTTACAGTGATAATAAGAGCAATTAATGCCATTCTATTGGTAAAAGACAATGATCGATCACTTTTGAGTCTCCTCAATAGCATGTGTCCATTAAGAATTTTTTCCCAACTTGGTCAGGAAGCAAGATATTTTATTTTTATCCTCATACAGAAATTAAAAAAAAAACCCTCCTAATCTTAGAGGAGAGGTTGGAGAGGCCAGGAAACATGGAAGTGTGAGTTACTGTCAGATGACTTTGTATATTTTAATGCATAAAGAATTGAGTTTCTATGATAGATTGAACTAATGAGGAAGAGCTCAATTTCTGTGACAGCACATAGAAATGTAGTAAAAATTAAAATGTATTAGCCAAGGTTGAGAAGTATTTCTATAGGTTCTAGAAATAAATTGAAAAATGCAAGCCAGGGCAGTGGAGTTTAGGGAGCCCATGACATTTTATCCTCAGATACAGGCCCTGAGGGCAGGGACAGGAGACAGAATCCTCCCAGGAGAGAACTGTGTAAGAGAACTGTGTCCCCTATAGAAAGCCTGGAGGATGGTCCTGGTGAATGAAGCACATACACTTCACAGCTGAGCCCACATATAAAACCAAACATGAGCAGTGTTGCCTGCCAACCTCTCTCTGTCTCTCTCTCATTTATGTTTGTGGTGCTGAGGATTGAATCCAGGGCCTTGTACATATGAGGCAAACACTCTACCAACTGAGCTATTTCCCCAGCCCCCAAACCTGGAGGATAGATGGGGATGACCTTGCCCATGAATTAGATAGTGGAGAGACTAGGAGACTGGCCACACACTGGTATAAAATGGGACTTTCAAGCCCAACTGCCTGGGTTTCAGTCCTAGCTGTGAACATTTCAAGGTGAAAGTTTATTTTCCCTTTAAAACATATACATCTTTTAGTTTACATGAAGTTTCTCTTATATTAAGTAGAAATTAAATGCAGAAAATGTTTCTGCTTACTATTTGGTAAATTGCTGAAAGAGAAGTTACCCCCCTTCATTAATATAGGCACAATTAAAATGCTACGCTATTAAAATAAAAATGAATGATTAATGCTATGTCTACATTATGGTAACAGTATCCGTGCTTCTATCAACACCACCACTTCAGCCAGTTTTTCAAGTTCATTATTGTTGTGAGAGTGGGATTTAGCAGAGCTCCTTGTGGTCTTGTGGCCATAAATGCTTTTCCATGTAAATGATTTTATAAATAAAAAGATTGGAATGGAACCTGGGCATGGTAGGGTTTCAGTGACAATTTTGGTTTTAATAACAGTGAACGCTTGAAAGAACAGAGAAATTCTGTATCATAGAAATTGAATACCACTTAATGAGAATAAAAAAAAAACCTTAAAAATTTTTGGTTCTCAGCATAGAAAATCTGTTTGGCTAGAGAAAAAAATGAAAGAATAATAATTTACTAACTTTTTAAAAAATTAAAAAATTATCTTCAATACCAAACCCCTTGGCTAATTACCTTGGCCAGTTTTCTCAGACTAGCCAAGATAATTATATTAGTTAAATTTGCTTTATTCACAAAGTTTAGTAGGGATGTGAGGGACTTTAGCCAGCAGAATAGAAATCTTTTACCTAGTATCAGTGAAGACATACCCAAAGAGTTCTGACTCAAATATATTTATCACTCTCATTCCACCACTTGAAGTTTCCATCATTACTTTTCTGACTACTGGAGCAACTGTGGTAAAATAAAACAGAGAACTGAGTTGTGATGGGCCTGAAGCAGATAAGAGTAGGGCAGACACACAAGAAACGGAGTGTAAAATCCACATAAGGTCCTAAGAGGAAGTTTCATCTGCCAGGCAGAGACTAATAGCCAAAGGATTAGACTATACCTAAAAGGTAAGTCCTGGCTGTGTTAGCAAGAGCCACAGGGAACTCTTTGTGGTTATTATATTTGGAAACTTAGGTAAATATCAATGTCATTGAAACCCTTTTGCAGGAACAGGACCCCAGTCACAAAACTGGAACCCTTGTTAGAAAACTGAGCTAGTCTAGAGCAGAAGGAATAAAGCTGAAGCATATTTAATGGACTGAGGAAAGGGAAGAGGAGATGAAGATGAAGGAGTTGGACACTTGGTGGGACAGTAGTAAAACTGGGATAGTTTTTGGAAGGTCCATCCTAACAGTCTCCTCATCCATCTGCTCAGTTGGAGAGATAGTCGACTCCCTGATTGGGCCTGAAGGAGAGAGATTTAGCATATCCCATGGATCTGTCCAGGGATCCAGAAGCCCAGGGAAGGAGACTGTGAAATTACACCGATGTGGAGCTGAGGGGGAGTGGGAAAGGAAGGATAGAGAGACGGAGCAGGGCAGCAAGGCAGAGGCTGGGAGAAAAAAGGCTATAGTAGGAAGAGGAGAAACAGAAGCCAAATTTTTATCTGTCTGGTTTGGCCTAAAAGGCTGAAGATTCATAAATTTTTTAAATAGGACACGAGAGCCTAAAACAGAAAAGGATGATATGGGGGTGGGGAGGGGCAAGTGATATGACAAGTAATTTTTAAAAAGGAGGAAAATGCCAGTGGAACTAACCTCCAGTAGAGAAGAAAATACGATATGAATTCCTAGCCCCTTGTGAGCATAAAATGAGATTAAACGAGAAAACACTTGGAAAAGGTTAAAAGCATTATTCAAACACAGGACAGGTTCTGTTGCTACATGAATCATAGAGAAGACTGTCAGGAGCCTGCCCAGAAAACGTGAGTAAACTCTCAGCTGCTTTCCCTGGTGTGAGTATCGCTTCTCTCTTCCAGGGTGGTCCAGCAGATGACCTGGAGCAGATTGACGTTTATTTAGAAGCTTTGCTGAAAGAAGATGATCTCCTTTCTAGACCCCTTAAACAAAGTGTTGCAGGGCATGGTCTCCCTTTAGAGAGCAATGGAAGGACTTCTCAAAACTAAAAGTCAGCAAAGGTATTCCCTTTCAAAAATGCTAATAAGAAAATTGGAAGATTTTTAAAAAATTCCTTTCTTTATTGTTGTTGTAAATTTTTTTAACTTCCAACTTTAAAAAATTGTATACTTTAGAGATGGAGACTGATTTGCAATTTATAAATTTGCCAACCCTATTTCCTATTTTTTCTTGTTTCTTGGAAATAATTTTTAGAGTTCTCTAATCTTCATGCAAGCTACTAAGACAAATGAAAATGTCACTTAAGCTTAAATTTTGCTTTTACTAAGATAATTGTAAGAGCTCGAAAACAGTGGATTTCAAAATCAATATACAAAGGACTGTAGAATCTTGTTCTTTTGAAATGTGTGTTGAAAGATATTGTACCTTTTCTCCACTGCAGCCAATCCTCAGGAAAGCAGAAAGTATAAATCCTCCAAAACATCTTTGAGTTAAAGTTTATATGATTGTTTTACAATTTAATTATAGTTAAATAATAAATCTCTTAAGCAGAACATATATATAACAGATGCTAAGAATTGTATTTTTATATTTAGACACATGTAAGAAACTGTTTTAACACTTTCCTTAATAACTGATTATGTTGTTTGTTCAGAAATGTCTTCAGCTTTGAACAAAATCAATAAAAGCATTAAGACTCATTTGTGGAATTGTACAATCTTAATTTACATAATGCACATAGTACAAAATGTGGAATGTGTTCAATATGATATTATGAAAATTCTTCATTCATTTGTGTCCTTAGCCCCTTAATTATTCCTCCTAAGAAGCATGCTCTTACTAGTTTTCTTATTGAAATTCTATATTAGTTTGTTCTACCAATCACTTGTGAATCTACTCCCAAACACTCAATGTATGTAAAACCATGTTGACCATTATATAACGGGAAATATGATGTTATTGCATCCAAAAGATGATGTTGCATTGTCTCTCTCTGAATACCATCAAGAACTTTTCAAATCAGAATGGATATATGTAATAATATATAATGTACTAAGAGGTAATGAGATCATATTTTGTTATTTTTAACTATTCCTCATAATTCCATTCTGTGGAAATTCCCAAATATACTTAACCATTCCCTTATCAATGGATATTTATTAATTTTTTTGTTCTTTTGGATTTGCATGCATATAATCGTGAGTATCCTTATAATAGTGAATATCCTTATAATTCACACATTTGCAATTTTTTCTGTCAAACCTAACAAGGTGTATTACAGAGTGAAAGATACATAGATGCTATTACAGTAGACATTGCCTAACAACACTGCATAAAAATTACATTAAAATACCCTCCTCTGTAATGTATGAACACCTATTTCTTCATACCTTTGGCTATCCAGTGAATTGTCACACTCTTATCTTGCTGATCAAATAGGTTAAACGTGATATGTCTTTGTTGTTTTAATGTAGGTTAGAAGTAAAGAAATCTATCCCTCCCTCCCTCCCTCCCTTCCTTCCTTCCTTCCTTCTTTCCTTCCTTCCTCTGGGGATTGAACCCAAGGCCTCAAGCACGCTAGGCAATCACTTTACCACTGGGCTATTTCCCCAACAGAAACCCCATTTTGTTTGTGTATGTGTGTATATATGTTTCCACATAGCCCCAGCACTGTCCCAGAATTATCATGTGGATAATCAATCCTTTCCCCACTAATCTTCAATGCTATCTTTGTATGTTAGATTGCTCTTTGTATTTTAAACAAAACAAAAAAAACAAAAAGTCCCTCTGCTTTTTCACTGATTGTTCAGTATTTTCTCATGCCAGACCCAGGTTGTTTTGGTAAGGATATTTAATAATTTTATTTTTTATAATTTCTTGTGTATACTTACCTGTTAAATTCTCATTAAAACTTAGAATTGGGCTAAGGCTGTAACTCAACGGTAGAGTGCTTGCCTCTCGTGTGTGAGGCACTAGGTTTGATCCTCAACACCACATAAAAATAAAAATGAATAAATAAAGATATTGTGTCCATATATAACTAAAGAAAAAATTTTTTAAAAAAACGCAGAATTAACTTTTTCAGTAGCTACTACCCCCTAAGTTTTATTTGCATTTTCTTGAGTTTGTGGTTGTAGCATAGAATAATATATAGAGAATAGACTTACTTTTAATGAAGCTTTTCTAAATTCAATATCAAAATATACCTTTCTATATGTTCAAGTCTTGGTGTCCTAGAGTACCAGTTTACATTTTTCTTCAAGCATTTTTCACATTTATAGTTATATTTATTGTAATTATTTGAATTATTCTTTGACATATTATAAATGAAGATATTTCCCCACTTCCTTATGACTGGTTAATGTTTTACACTAAACAATTCCTGATTTTTGGAAACAGATATCGTATTCAATGTAAGAAATCTCATAGTAGAGATAGTTTAAAACTTTTTTTTGCATCAGCAACTCATCTTTATATACACTTTAATATGTGTAATTTATGTGAAGAAACACAGCTTTTGTGTTTCAAGTCCTTGGATTCTTGTATTATCTAAAGTTTTTCCTCCACAAGGGACGTTCTTGTTCTTCTTCTGCCATCATCGGTATCCATTTCTCCCTCAGTGTAAAAACAGGTGATGAATAGAAGGTCATGGTGATAAGAAGCCAGTCTTCTGGGCATCCTTTTGGCAGACATGTAAGGAATCTGATGAAAAACACCCCAGAAGAATGCTGACAGAATATTCAGCATAGTTCCTACCTGGATCATCCACAGGGCTCAGGCACCCCTGTCTCAGCTTCTTTTGACTCGACGTAAGAAACCTCATCTCCTGTAATGGTTTCAAGTGATACTTCCACCTGAATGAGTTACAAATTACTATGGCTCATTCATCCACCTATTATTTAACTCTAGTTGTGAAGTAGAGCATGTTCTACTGAAAGTCTGCACTGATATGTTTGAAACAGAATTAATCATATTCACTTTAACCACTCCCACTTCCTGTCAAGACAGTTTATTTCAGGTCTAATGGTTCCAGTTCTTGGGGAACCGGGGATTTATTAAATAGGTAATTAGTCCAGGACTAACACAGAGATCCATCTATGGTTAGGAGGTGGTAACCAGAATTCAGGATTAACAGAATTGCATTCCACCTGGGAATCTGATCCTGCATATGATTGATAGCAAGATGCTTGAGGACCACTTGAGGTGCTTTGTTTCCGTTACTGGACGGTGGATACACTCTTAGGTTCTTTGACTCGGTTCTCAAGTCCATTTGCAATTGGGACTTAGCCAGGACAAGATTAGATTAGCTTGGGAACTGAAGTGAGACAAAACTAGCAGGAAGAAAGCATACAAAGATACAGACTTGAGAGACAAAAAAGAGGAACAAAGAGAAAAACAAAAACAAACAAAAAAAGGAAGCCAGAAGACACAGCCATGTATGTTCTTTTATCTTCAGACCAGACTCCACTTGCTACTACATCCACAGCTTGACTTACCACCAATCATCTGATTTTCTCTAGCCATGATTCCTTTCTTATACATAGACTTCCTTTTAATTTAACAATACTCCAAATGTATAATTTTCCCTTGAGAAAAATGTTCTTCATCTAAATTTATGTTTAGACTATCAGGAACAAATAGATACTCATATTACAATTTTAGATTGGGGAACGATACTTGAGAAGATAATATTTCAATGAAGTTAGTAAGTGATGGGATAATGTCTAGAACCTATGCTAGACTTTGTTCCACCTCCCCTAACCCACTGAAATATTCCTTAGATTCACAAGTCTCAGTTTCCACATCCGTAAAATAGCAATGAAAAGTTACTATTTCAAAACACCTGAAAAGTTCCTTCACCTGGACTCACTGTGCTAGTTGATAATGTAGGCATAGTGGATGACCAACAAGATGACAATGATCGCACTCACTAAAAAAATATTGCCCTTGTTCTTTGTAGAAAACCATCCTCTGGGATGCTGTAAGCATAATACCATCAGAGGTGAGTGACCTCAGTCTTAAAACTGTACAGATAAGTTAATCTCACTGGCTTTCTGTTCTTATTTAGCCTGTAGCTAGTAAGAGGTTTAGAGTAGCTTTCCAAGAGCATATGTCAGTTTCCAAGAGCATATGTCAGTAGTGAAGAGCGAGAGACTAAATGAAGAGAGAACTTACATGAAAACAACTTGAGAAAAAGACCGGAGATTTCGAATCACCATGGGGAATGGGGAATCCATAGCTGGTGATCAGACAGGAATTCTTGTACAAGACCCCTATGTGTGGTACAGAGCATTTATGATGGAGTATCCATCTGGCCTGCAAACGCTGCATGAATTTAAGGCACTTTTGGGTCTGCAAGGTCTGAATCAAAAGGCCAATGAACATGTTGATCAAGTTTATAACACCTTTGACACCAACAAGGTAAGACTGTTTACTTTTCATTCGGCTTTGATTCTGCATTTTTCCTTTTTTTCTTGTCCCTATAATGTTGCCATAGGTAAAAATGTGTGCAGCCCACCAAACAGAGAAGTTTCCAGACAACCCACAGCTTGTAGGTAAGTCAGTCATTTAAACACATTTGGCACAGACGACATGAAAATAATTGGGAACTAGCCTCTCCACCCTTGGAAATGTTCTGCATGTAGGGAGTTATTTTAAAACCAAATTAAATCTCAGCATGGAATTCTAATGTTATCGCTTAAATAAATCTAATAAGTGTGGATTGATTTACAAAGACTGTTTTCAAAGTATTTAATGCATTGGTGACATTTTATAGAAAAGCAAATTATAGGAATCTGCTTTTAAAATCATGAATGCATCTAAATTAGCAGGTAAAATCAATACAAATTAGCCAACATGTTGTCTGTGCTCAAATAAAAAGTTAGAATGCTTTATATTGCTTTTTTTTCATATCTGACCAATTTAGTTTGGGGAAAAAACAAAACAGTTTACAGTTTTAAATTCAGATGAAGTTTAGTTTCTATAGATTGTTATGCAACTATTAATCTTGAATTGACTTGTCCCTGAGGAGCTGTAGCATCTTTGCTTTTTCTTTTTTTTTTCTTGAAAAAATACAACATGAGAAGAGAAAAGTGAGATGGGAAAGGGAAAATGAGACAAAGATGTAACAATCTGAAATATCATGTGCACTCTCCACCTGCTTTTCCTGTGCATTATTTTAGCTATAGTTTTGTATCATTCAAAATGTGAAGATGTCATCTAGAATAAAAGGAAGGGGGAAATACTACTAGCAAACAAAAACAGATGACTTTAGGAAGCTGAACCAATGATACCAAGGGAGAAAGAAGGGATCATTAAGTGAATAAAATTAATAGAACTAATTCTGTGAGGAGTATGGAATGAAGCACAATCCTCGGATCCCTTTTCCAAAGCCATGAATCAAGGGATTTAAAAAGAGTCAACAGGCAGGACCTGGAGAACATTAAACCTATGAGAAATCAACAGCTATTTCAGTCCTCATATTGATGTGGGGAACAGATTTCTTTTAGGACACTATTGTCTTTTGTGCTTTGCTATCAAACGTGAGTTAAATGTTGCCTATTTAGAGTGGCCGTTTTCCTCCTCATA